CGTCTATAGCCCACAGAACTTCACTAGCATCCACAAAGCAGTACACTTCTGAGGGATCACAAAACCTTTCCCAGGAGATCGTATTATAGCGGTCACTCACCATCGACACCCATCCCAATACTTCCTAGATCCCTTTGCTTCCTTGAGCATAGCTTTCGGGTTGGTTCGGTATTTGAGACCCTCGACCACTACCATACGATGAGAACATTTTGCCACTTGCAACCTTATAGCCAAGATGCTGGCTTGGATTCCAAGCCTTGGACGGCATTGTGGCTCGAGCGGATAGTAGTCGTAATGTGTATGAATCATACAGAAAGCAGGATCACCATCATCATACAGTATGATGATGGTGATGCTGCTCTCTTGTCGTCAAAGACTTTGCAAGGAGAAGGAAAGTGGATCTCTGGAACCGGCTACCAATATTCATTACTGTATGACACTGTGATGATGAGCGTACCGGACTTCGTTACCGGTGATGGTTCTTTTGTACTGCCGGTCGTTCTGTACGAAAACTTTTCCGAAGTTCAAGACTTCGCTCGGGAGAACGATGTGACTCGAATACTATTCGATGTGGGGCGAGCCTTCAAACTACTCCGCTACTAGTGCTTCCGGTTTCTGCTATGACGTATTGTAGAATGCTCTACCCGGAATTGTCAAAGGGTCGAGTTATGACCCGAAGTATTGGACGGAGGTCGCTTTTGTGACGGATGGTTACTGTGGCTCTGCTTGCTCGATATTTACGCAGACTCTACAGCTCACGGGAGCTGCAACAGCTTTCACTTTCGGTGGTCTGGCCGATCAGGCGATGGATGTTGCCTCTTTTGGTGGTGGAAACGTTCTGGAATATGATGACATATCCCCTCTATTGAATATTGCCAGTCATCTCGGGTACTGGGCTACATTTGGTGAGTCTGACTAGTCGAAGAGGCATACCAGAACTTGGGTTAACAAGCCGGTGCCTTTCCCGAACAGTGCGTGGGTTGAGTACACCTGGGAGTCCCAGGCTGGGACATCGGCTCGGCTGCCCAACTCGGATCAGATACTTTGCCTTGCCAGTTCTACATTATACCCCGCATAAGCACTTGAATATGTGGGCTCGGAATCTCGATGAGTGAGCGGCTGTTCACAAG